TGTATTCTTTCAGTAAAAATATATTCAAATTTATAACCAATGTTATGAATACCTATTATATTCAAATTCATAATAGCAATTAAGAACCAAGACTTTATATTGGTAAATACATTACCAAGTTATAAACATATAGACTTTCATCAATTATGTAAATTTAATGTTTATCAAAAAACATTATTTTATCTTAATTATTTATAAATTTTAAGTTAATATATTTCAAATCATTTTATTTGATACTGATTTTAACTGGAAAAAAAGTATTCAATAGAATAAAATAGTTTTTGAAATGCACTTTAATACTTTTTGATAAACAGTATTTAAAATATGTATTTATTCAATACTTGTAAAAGTATTTGAATACCAATAATAAAATACTGTACAACACTAGCTATAAAAAAGTTATTAACTAAAAAATGAGCGTATAATGCCCCTAACTGAAGCGGTTAAATTTAAAAAAATGCGAGAAATGTTTGGACGATTAATGGCTGCTATCACACCAGTTGACCACTCTCTTTAATATCAAGGCACTCTAGTTTATAATTTATAATATATCTTAATGATGTTACTCAATGTATAAGTATCATGTAAGAACACTGCCGCTAGACCACTAGGGAGCGCTCGTTTTCACCAGCTGCACACTGTCTATAGGAGTTATTGGAAACACGTTTTTCGTTTAATTAAAATCCTAGAGGTATTGATATTATATTTGTAAACAATTATATTTTATTTAATAAGAAATATATTTTTATAGCCGGTATGCCACAATTATACGAATTGGCCGGCTTCGCGTATTATCAGTTTATTACAGTCTGTAATATTTATTTATTTCACCAAGTTTGGAAATGTTGAGTCAAGTTCACATGATTTTATTGCATTTAAAATATTTAAAAAAGTAGCATTTTGCACATCTGGTAGTATTACTTTTGCTTGATATTTAAAAAATTCTATTTCGATAATGATTTCTGGACCTATATCTTCATCGTATTTTATTGCCAAGTCAGCTGCACATTTTTTCAACATTTCAACAGGCGTTTCAAATAGTGAATGGCCGGAAAGAAATTCAAAATCATTAGAAATAATGGATAATTTTTCAAAACGCCATTTAATTTCAGCTATCATATTATCAAGAACTTTGTAATATTCTAATGTTAATAATTGATCGGCAGAAAAACCACTTGTTGACCTCCCTCCACTTGTGATTTTCATTTTTATTTTGAATTCTGATTTTATACCAAATTTTTCACAAATGCTTATCATTTCGGTTTTAATTTCTTCAGTTCCACTATCACGCATTTCTTGAAGAAAAATATTTAATGAAATAAACATTTTTGAGGCCTGACCAATGGTAATAGTTGAGCTTTGTAAAACTTTATTCGCACGAAAAATTTGATTTAATATTTTATCCCACATAATTAAAAAATAAACAAATTGCAAATCAATTTGTTTTAAAATACTTTAGGTATATCGTATACCTATATATTATATTTATATGATTATATTCATTTTTGGGAAACCAGATCGATTCAAATAGTCGTTTAGTATTATTTTTCATGTGTCGTGTTCGTTTCGTTCTGTTCGATAAATTATGGAACAAATTCAAATAATAATGTCCGAAAGAAGAAGGGAGTTAGCTCTTTTATGTAATTTTAAATACAGTTTCGTAAGAAAACGTAAAGATGGTTACATCAAATGGGTCTACACAGACAAAAATTGCACTGCAAGTATTACAACAACTTCGGATAAGAAGTCTCTACATCAGTCAACTGGTGAGCATAAGCATTTGGTTAACAGTCAACAAAAAATTGACCGACACATCTTGAGAGAAAATTGTAAAAGAATAGCCGACGAAGATGTTTCTACCAGGCCATAAAAAATTATACGAACCGAATTAATTAAAGATAATCGGACAGATATAAGATACAGTGATATACAATCTGTGCGTAAAGCGATATACGATAAACGACGTAAAATGTATCCTGTTTTTCCCACATCATTAAACGAAGCAATAGCTCAACTGAAACTGGTGGAAAATGATTTTTGTTATTTTAATGAAGAACAATTTGTTTTTGTTCCGGAAAATGACGAATTTGTTTGTATAACTACAAAGGAAAATTTAAAATTTATGACAATGCAAAATTAATTTTTTTGGAGATGGTACCTTAGATTACGCACCAAAATTTTTTTTTACAACTTTATACTTTACATTCTTACACAAATGGTTTTTATGTGCCCATTGTATATTTTTTTTTGCAAATAAAACAAAAAAAAACTTATTTGAATATGTGGAAGTATATTTTGGAATTATGTCAACAATATTTTACTTCTACTTTCGATGTTAAAAAACTTCATTTGGATTTTGAATCTGGAGCTCGTGAAGCTGCAAAATAAATATTTCACAACGTAATAATTGTTACATGCCGTTTTCATTTAGGACAAGCATGGTGGAGAAAGGTAATAGTTAAAATCTAATCATATCTAAAAATGAATTTAATTGAATAAAATATTTACAGATAAATGGAGATTTGAATTTGAGAAATGCATACAAGGATATTAAAAATGAATTAGCTCAATGGCTAAAATTATTTTTCGGCTTACCATTTTTACCCAGTGACAAAATTGAAGATGCATTTTTAGCATTAATAGCTGAATGTCCCAGCCTTGAAGAAGTTAATGTATTTACAGATTATTTATTATCGACATATATTGGACCTGATGCGTTATTTCCACCGTATCTTTGGGCACAAGAACCCTCAGAAAATCCAAGGTATGTTTTTAAAGAATTTAACTTAGAAATTTCAATTCTTTTTCTTTTTCTTAAAATTGTACTTAAAAAAAATCAAAATTTTTATGTTTATATAATTATTTTTTAGAACTACCAATGGGCCAGAGAGCTTTCATAGGACGTACAATGGTCAGTTTTATAATCCCCATCATTCAATACACGCAGTGATTTCAGTTTTAAAACAAACACAGGCACAAACTTTGACAATAATCAATTTTATTAAAAACAATGTTCATAATCCTATGGCCAAAAAAGATAAATCTATAATTGAATCAACAATAAGAAATTACAATAATTATAAAATCCATAAAAATCTTGTTTTATATTTACAAAAAACTGGAAATTTCTACCAAGGAAAAAATTTAAATAAAAAAAAAAATATAGGAAAATTATTTTAAACATTATTATTATTTAAAACTTTACTTTTTTCAATTTATTTTACATTATCTATTATTTTTATTATTTTATTTCAGTTTGTAACGTAGTTATAATGTAACAATGTAACATTTTATTATTCATAATATACAGAATAGTTTTTACTTAAAAAAATAAAAATATTTTAATTGAATTTAATTAAAATTGAATTTTTTGAACAATTTAATTTAATTGAATGTTGATATTTTTTTTCGTTTAACGTTTTCCGTTTGATTACGTTTAAAAATTTTAATCTTTATTTATCATGTATAACGTTATTTTAACGTAAACAAGACTTAAAATTTAAAAGACCATTTCATTAAAAAATAATATCCGTTTCCTGTATTTCATCCAAATTTTGTTTTCATTTTTTAAAATTAGAAACATCTATTGCTAAACACCTGGAAAACTCTTTTTCTCCTCATGATATCCAACCCAGTCATACCTAACTAAAAATCGTAGAAAAGTACCTTGAAGCTCCTCTACCAATGTCCATGCCTGCCAAACCTACATCTCCCGATAAAATCAACACCATAATCAAAAATATACATACCAAAAAATCCCCAGGTCACAACCTAATAACGAATTATATAGTAAAAAACCTACCACGTAAATAGTGTACTAACCTAACCTAAATAGTGTACTTATCTCACCTCTACAATGCAATACTCAGATTATCCTTCTTCCCAAACTCCTGGAAGCACTCCATCGTAATATTCATTCTCAAGCCAAATAAACCTCCCGAAAACCCAGCATCATACAGACCGATAAGTCTTCTCTCTACTTTCTCAAAAATATTCGAAATAATTCACTTAAAAAAACTCATCCCTCTTGTCACCGAAGCTAACATCATCCCACACACACAGTTCGGTTTTAGAACTCATCACTCAACTATCCACCAACTTCATCGCACTGTCGACAAAATCTCTAACCCACTGGAGAAAAAAGAATTCTGTCCTACTAATTCTGTCTACAGGCTTTTGACCGGGTCTGGAATGAGGGGCTACTCTACAAACTAAAGAAGTTTCTCCCAGCACCTTATTTCTTATTAATAAAATCCTACCTATCTGATCCCTCCTTTAAGGTTCGTCTAAAAAATAGCTATTCAACCAGCCATCGCATTAGCGCAGGCGTCCCCCAACGTAGTGATATCGCTCCTTTTCTATATTCTGTGTTCACTCACGACATCCCCATAAACACTTCACTTTTCTTGGAACATATGCCGATGACACACTAATTTCAGCATCACACCAGGATTCTGCAACCGCTTGTCGGATGATCCAAAGTCACCTTAACATGATAAATCTATGGACTAAACGGTGGAAAATAAAAATAAATGAAACGAAGTCTTCTCATGTAACTTTTACATTGCGCAAATTTGTTTGCCCTCCTGTCACATTTAACAACCTAGTAATTCCTTCAACAGACGAAGTAAAATACCTAGGGCTAATATTCGACAAACGCCTCAACTGGAGCTCGCATATTAAACAAAAACGTAAATCAGTGAACTCCAAACTTCATCTTTTGAAACCCCTATTAAAATCAAAACTTTCCTTAACCAACAAACTTACGATATACAAATCGATAATCCGCCCAGCTTGGCTTTATGGTATCCAACTATGGGGGCCAGCAAAACCATCAAACACCAAAATCCTCCAAGCATTCCAATCCATATGCCTACGCCTAATAACCTCTGCCCCTTGGTATGTTACCAGGCGCGAACGCAGGAAAAAATTTCGGGGGGGGGTTTTTGAAAAAAATGTTCATAAAAATATCATACTAATCATATTGAATTTATTTTAGCTTTTAGATACCTACCTACTTTTAATAGTATACTCAATACTCATATTAATTCATTATTACAATTTACATTATAAAATAAGGTCTAGACGTCTCGGTACTTTAGCCATTATATTAATGATCTCATCATAGGTCACCTCCACGTCTCTATATAAATTTAATAGCATCAGTCCATTTAATCGCTCTTCACCAGTCTTATTGCGCAGATATGTTTTCAGTCTTCGAAGACAAGAAAAAGACCGTTCACTTGTTGCCACAGATACTGGAAGAGTTGCACCGATCTGTAAAAATCGGTGTATTGATTGATACAATGTCGAATCACAAGTATTGAGGGTGTCTATAAATGATTTTGGCCGTTTATCCTTTGACATATTTAAACAATGCCTGAAAGAATAGGTAATGCACAAAAAAAATTATTAAAATAAAATTATATTATCTAATATTATAGATAGCAAAAAATATTTTTATAGATTTTAAATAATTTGTTACCTGCGCCACATGGTAATTTCAGCTATAAAATCATCAGTAGATCCCTTTATGTCATTTGGCCATTCTTTTGCAAAAGTATTTACCGTTTCACTGATTTCTTTTGTATTCAGCTCTGAACACTTAATCGGCAGAATATTTTGAATTTTTGAAAGTAGTTCCCGGTGATCAATAAATCTTGTTTTTAGCTGCATTGATAAGTGGTCCAAAAAAGGGAGAAATATGGACCGACGGAAATAAGCCTCTGGACTTCCTTCGTAGTTGTCTCGATTCTTCTGTACTCCAATATTCCGTGGAGGTACTAAATTAATACTCATTTTTTCCGCCATTTCTTTTGCTGCTACAAACAAGTCTTTAAATTTCAATTCCGAATCGCGACGCATCTCATTGATTTCATCATATACGTTGTTTGCGTAATCAATGCATAAGCTGAGATCGCAATCTTCCTTTTGTAAAAATATACTAAGATTTTTCATTATGATGAAAATCGGTTTTACTACTGTTAATGCTATAATAAATTGTGGTGTCTGTATCGATGAAAGTAGGGCATAAGGTTTGATTCCGTCAGTTTTCAAATTATTTTCATCCA